GCTCCGACCGGGGGCTCCGCGGCGAGGGACACCGGGCGCCGCACGGTGAGGGCGGGCGCGGGGGGCGCGACCCCGTGGGACACCGGGCCCGTCACTGCCCGCGGCCACTTCATCTGCTCTAACCCTGCCCCGCCACTCGCGGGGGGGACGAGGCGAAGTGTCACGTAACCTCCCCCTGGGGCTCTTTCCCCAGGAAGGTGTTTCCTCAGACCGACCAGGAGGGCCCAGCTCTGCTGGTCAAGGTGCGTCTGCATGTTCGGTGATTTTTGTGTATTCAGACGGTGGCCGGGGTTGGAAGGGAACTCTGGAGATCATCTAGCTAAACTCCCTGCTAGAGCAGGATCATCTACAGCAGATCCCACAGGAACACTTCCAGATGGCTTTGGAATGTCTTCAGAGAAGGAGACTCCACAGACTCCCAGGGCAGCCTGTCCCAGGGTTCTGTCACAGGAAAGAAGCTTCTCCTGTTTAACTTGACCTTCCCGTGCTCCAGCTTGTGCCCATTGTCCCTGGTCCTGTCACTGGGCACTGCTGGGAAGAGCCTGGTTCCACCCTCCTGACACCCCCTGGAGATACTGATCAGCCTTGATGAGATCACTCCCCTTTTAGCCTCCAGGCTGAACAGCCCCAGCTCGTCCACCCTTTCCTCACATGGCAGATTCTCAAGTCCCCTCATCACCCTAGTGTCCTTGTGCTGGACTCTCTCCAGTAGTTCCTTATCCTTTATGAATTGGGGAGCCCAGAACTACACACAGTTCTCCAGATGTAGCCTCACTAGGGGCAGGATAGAGCAGAAGGAGAACCTCCATGACCTGCTGGCCACACTCTTCTTTATGCCCCAGGATGGCACTGGCCCTCTTGGCCACCAGGGCACATGGCTGCTCATGATCAGCCTGTTATGCACCAGGACCCCGAGGTCCTTCTCCCCAGAGCTGCTCCCCAGCAGGTCAGCCCCAGCCTGTACTGATCCATGGGGCTGTTCCTCCCCAGGTGCAAAACTCTACACTTGCCCTTGTTGAAGTTCTCCCTCCTTTTGTGCATTACTTTTTTGTGTTCTGTCCAGTTTGTGCCACCCTGGCAGCTTTACCTTACGTGCTGGGACCAGAGAGCTCTGGAGAGGAAGAACAAGCCCTGTGCCAGCAGGCTGGTGCTGCACAGCTGATGCGTGAACAAGCACAAAGAAAGAAGGAAAACTATAGGGCAGGGTTTCTTTGCTTACAGAAGGATTGGGCAAAGAGCAGCAAATAGTGGATGAGATAAAAGCTGGTTTTGTTTTCTTTATTTGAGGGAATATTTGGAGTTGAAAAGACCTTTGCAATTCATCTCTGTCTCATTCCAGGTGTTTCTCCTGCCCCTCCACAACTCACTGTTTCCCAGGATGTTTTCTTGGGCAGCAGCAGGCAGGTCTGGTCTGATTACCTCAATGTGCACTTGCATCCCAAAAGTGTCTACGTCATCCCTCAGTACATGCATGATGGGTATGTCCCACAGGTTTGCTTCAGGATCTCTTGTCCAGAATGGGATCTTCAGGGA